CCCTTAAGACCGCGCCGCCCGCGCATGCGTCGTCCACCGGCTAGGACGCTTCGAGGGCGCGGCCGCGCCACGACTCGCTTCGCTTCCCGGCTGCCCGGCCTCCAGAGTACGCATGCGCCGCTCGCCGGTCTCGGGGCGGCTGGCTCGCTCAGGGGGAAGGTCAACCTAGCGCTGCGGGAGGCGCGCCCGGGCGAGTTCGGTGGTCGTTCTTCTGCGTCAGGACCATTAATGCGTCATTCCTCCTGGATGGACGGTCTCGGGCGGAGCGCTAGGCGAGCAGTCGGCAGCCAAGGGGGTCTGCGACACATGGCAGAGGTGGGCGTGCTACGGTGGTGGCCACGGGAGTGGGCTGCTCCCTGGACCCTCCAGTCCAGCCCCAGTCTAAGTGGGCACTGCTTCGACCCTAACCTGCATTTTTCCCACCCAGACTCTAGACACATGGGAAGACTAAGAGCCTATGTGTGGGTACTTTAGAATTGGACACACAGGCACCACCATCCGCTCTATCACCACTATGGTCTCTAGAGAGCTGAGAACTTCCTTGAATTCATTCTGAAACGATGGCTGGCTCATAAAAATATTCTCATGAGCCAGGCATGTTGGGACATGCCCTTCATAACATATTTGAGAGTCAGGCAGGTCCTTATCTGTGAGTTGGATGTTGAAGACTAACCTGATCTACCTAGGGAGTTCCAGGCCAACCAGAGCTACACAGTGAGGCCCTATCTTTAAAATAAGTTTAAAGGGGAAGGAAGCCAGAGATGGCTCAGTAGTTACGAGTGCACACTCTCCTTGTGGAGGAGAATGGGTTTGTTTTCCAGCACCCGTGTAGAGCCCCACAACTGCTTGTAACTCCGGTTCCAGGGGATCAAAAGCTTATAATGCACATACAGGCTAGTAGCTGCACACAGACACATAATTTTTAAAAATTAATCTTTCTTTTAAACCTTAATGCAGTCCCTCATACACGGGGTAATTTTTGCTTTTGTTTGTTTGTTTGTTTGTTTGATCAAGGAACATCAGCAAATGTGTGAAGCTGGTAAAGACCAGTGGCCAAGCTCAGAGCAGGGCAATAGAAGTCAGCAGCCAGCAACCAAGCCCAAGGTTGTGTTTCAAAAATAGAATTCAGAACGGTGACACTCTCACTGTGATTAAACAAACAGAGGCATCTCGCGGTTGCATAAGGGATGTTTTCCTTGGCTAGGGGCAGGTCCCTAGGGTCAGGGGAAAGTGATATGGAGCAGCTTCACTCTGCATTCTTGACCAACTGTGTACCGCTAGGGCTGCGGCTCAGCGAACCCTCTGCGCATCAGTCCCTGGGTTCGATTCCCGTTACCCTCCGCTACCCACCCACCCCCTTAAAA